GCTCGCTTTCTTGCTTTCTTTCTGCACTGGTACTGGCACCTGAACTCAGAGACTGGGTGCTGTTCATTAGCTTTTTTGATCATAGCTGGTACTCTACCACTTGATCCACAGCTCCATATCTGACTTTTTGGTGGTTAATTTAGAGTTTCACAGAATTTTCTGTCCAAGCTGGCTTTGAGCTGTGATTCTCATATCTCAACTTCTTCAGTAACTAGGATTACAGGCATGGGCTACCAGCAGCAGGCTTTACAAAAGAACATTTTCAATCTATCTATTGGTAGCTGTGTAGCCAATAACACTGCACTGTTATCCTTAAATAAAATACAGGACTGACATGTTTTTCTTTAATAGCTTCCTTGTCTTAATATATAACCTTTCCTTGTTCCCATTTCCCTAATCTTTCCATTTCAGCTTAATCCTTTTTTCTGATGTTACTGAAGTCTCTGTAGCACTTTTTCTACTTAAAAATTTTGTGCTTATTCTGGAGTAGATGTAATGAGTGTTTTTTCTCTGGAAGACCACTGCTTCTTCACATACTCATCTAAAGACAGAAAATATACTTTGGTGGTAGATTATAACTAATTTTAAAATAAAAGCCTCTTGTATGAGAATGATCTGGTACTGTCTGTATTCTGTAATCTTTCACTGGTCCTGGATCTACACTCTTTTACTCCTCAAATTCTTTGTGTGCTTACTCTGAAGCTGGCTAGATTCATGGATAAATTTTACATTGTTAGTGAGGAATATTCTTGTTTTCCCCATAACCCTGGTTCCCCTGAGTAGAATTCATACTTTACTCCTGGGTATTTTTATAGGTACCCCCCTAGGTACTTCATTCCTCCAGGCTAAATAAAGATGGCTAACTAGGTGCTGTTTGAAAAGGAGCAGACTTGCATCTAGAAACCTAGAAGCAGTTGACAGTTGTAGAGTGAAATAAAACTCCTTTAATCCAATTCACCTAGTTGTTTAGAGTAAGCACTTGGTTGGAATAGGCACTTGTAAGTGAAAACTTTGGAAAGATACACCCTAACCCGGTCTCCAAGGATGGTCCATCACGAATTTTCCACAAATGTAGTTTCTTATCCGGCATTTTAATGGCACAGTTCCCAAACATTCTAGGAATATGGCAAGACCTACCTGAATCTTCATGGTTGATTCTACCAAGCTGTATTAAAGACCTGGTATGCTTCTTGATGAGCCCACTGTAGACCCAGAAGATGTACTTTCCTTTTCTTCTTCTTTCTTCTTCTTCTTCTTCTTCTTCTTCTTCTTCTTCTTCTTCTTCTTCTTCTTCTTCTTCTTCTTCTTCTTCTTCTTCTTCTTCTTCTTCTTCTTCTTCTTCTTCTTCTTCTTCTTCTTCTTCTTCTTCTTCTTCTTCTTCTTCTTCTTCTTCTTCTTCTTCTTCTTCTTCTTCCTCTTCTTCTTTCTTCTTCCTCTTCTTCTTCCTCTTCCTCTTCCTCCTCCTCCTCCTCTTCCTCCTCCTCCTCCTCTTCCTCCTCCTCCTCCTCCTCCTCCTCCTCCTCCTCCTCCTCCTCCTTCCCCTCCTCCTTTTCTTCCTCCGTCTTTTCCTCCTCCTTCTACTTTGTCTTTTTCTTCTTTTTGATGTCACTACTGAGGCTTGAACTTAGGCACTGTTCCTTAGATTTTTCACAGGCTGCTATTCTACCACTTAAGTCAGAGCTCCACTCCTGCTTTTTGGTATTTGGAGGTAAAAGTCACACAGACTTTCCTGACCAAGCTGGGCTTTGAACAATAATCCTCAGATCTCAGCCTTATAAGTAGCTAGGATTACTGGCATGAGCCACTGGTGCCTGACTGTAAATCCTTATTTTATTGGTCATTGTGAAGCTCAAATTCTACCTATCTTTAGTAGGGTGAGAACAGTACAGGCAACCTGATATTAATATTTTCTTAAATATATTCTTAAATATTTTCTAAACAAACAATTTGTGTAAACAACTATTGCTGAATATTCAGTTTAAAAGTGATCTATTTTTGGCAAATCTTATTAAGCAATTATATAAATTTTACTTTACAATATATTGGAAACTGTTAAAGTCAAATTTCTTCTTGTGAGCCACATTCGGATGGTTACTTCTTCATACTGTTCTTATCCTGGGTTATTTGAAAGCCATCTTCAGCCATTGGAAGCTTTTTCCTGACATAAGGCCTTTGTAGTTACTCTTCTCCCTTTGTAAAATGCATTTCTAAAATATTGTATTATGACTCCCATCACTACACATCACCACCATTCACTTTCTTATTGTAATTATCTTTTTATTATATTATTGTCTCTTTTCACAAGTATTAATGGTTTTATTTCACTTACTTATATTTTATTTGCTTATTTGTTTGTTTATATGACTAGAAGAGGTAGAAGCTGTGAGGTAGAAGCTGTGCTTCCTTGTTTATTGTAGTCTGCACATAGCACATAGTAGATACTCACTAAATATATGTTGCTGAATAAGCAAATGAATAACTTAGAGAAGTGGCATAGATCTCTATTTAAAAGAGATATCATGTGTTGAGTTTTGTTTGGACATGTACTAAATAAATAATGCTGGGTATTGTCAGAATTTCATGTTTTATGAATTTATGACCATGTTAATATAAAGGATACATTAGTCCCTTATTGAGAAATGGGCATGGTTAATGGTGTATATGTTTTATGTGTAGTGACTGAACACTTGAGGAAGACTCTGCCTCCTTAGCTGACTGACTACTGAATGGAGATGTTGCAGTAGAATGTCTCTTCTCAACTTATGGTTATGAGGCATAGGGGAGGTATGAATGCTCTATCTTTCCTAAGACAAATAAATAAATGGGAGTATGTATCAGTATTTTCTAATATTATCTTGTACCTTGAACATTGAAATGCCAAAGAAATGTATTTGACACTTTCCCTGGTGAAATAACCCTTTATGTTTCTTATATTTAAAGTGTCTTTCCAAAATATTACCACTCATTCTTCTAAATTCTTTTTTCCTTCCTTAGTTTCTCTCTCTCTTTCTTTCTTTCTTTCTTTCTTTCTTTCTTTCTTTCTTTCTTTCTTTCTTTCTTTCTTTCTTTCTTTCTTTCTTTCTTTCTTTCTTTCTTTCTTTCTTTCTTTCTTTCTCTCTCTCTCTCTCTTTCCTTCTTTCTTTCCTTCCTTCCTTCCTTCCTGCCTTCAATTACTTGTATTTTCCCACTTCCTCTTTTGTAGGAGCACAGAGTAAGATTAAGGAGAAAGAGGTATCCATATGAAAAAAATAGAATTAGATTGCTTTCCTCCATTAAATTCTTTTTGGAGAGCTTAGTCTTTTTTAAAGAAGTTTTTTAATTGTGGAAATACTGTACAGAGGGGTTACAGTTACATGAGCAAGGTAATGATTACATTTCTTATCAAGCATTGTTCCCTCCTCCTTTGTTTTTCCCCTACCATCCCTTCCCTCACACTTCCACAAATACACTCCCCCCCGACCCCCACCTAAATTGTAAAGTTCATTGTTCAACAGTGTCTTGTACATCTCATTGTTACAATGGGTCAACCTGTATCCCTATTTAAACATTTTTTTTACTTTCCCTTCCCAAATTACACCGACATAAATAAATGGAAACAGGGATTTTACCATAGGGGAGGAACATACAAAGCAACAAAAAAATCCCATGGTACCTTATAAATACATTATACACAATAGCAAGCAAGCAAGAAAAAAACACTGTGTCCCTATCTTGGGGTTCATTTTGCTTAACATCATCTTATCTTTTCATATGTTCATAGCTTTGGCCTTTTCTGCTTGTCCCAGACATATAATAGTCATTACAAATAAGGGAAACCATAGGACCTATGTTTCTTTGGGCCTGGATTACTTCACTTAATATTTTTTTCCCAAGTCTTCCATTTCCTAACAAACGGGACGATGTCATTCTTTCTGATGGAGGCATAGAATTCCATTGTGTATATATATCACATTTTCTTGATTCATTCATCTACTGAGGGGCATATGGGTTGGTTCCATATCTTAGCTATGGTAAATAATGCTGCATAAATAATGCTGCAATAAACACAGTTGGCGCTTAGAGTCTTGTAATGGTGTTTACTGCTTTGAAATATTCACCTCCTTCCAATAATAAGGGAACAATTGTTTAATTAAGAACAAATAACCCATTCATTTCCATCTATTTCCATTATGGCTAAATTAAGTACAAATTCAGTCAGTAGGTTCTAGGAAAGAAAGGTTGGATTTCTTTACATGGTAGTAGATATAGTGTTCAGGAGAAGACAAGAGACTTTCTAGTATCTCTAGTAGATAAGAATACTTAATATTTTCTAGCATCCCTTGTAACTGGACGTAAAGAAAAATTTAAAAATAATATATTCCCATTTTCTCTTTGAAATGGCTGTTGTTCAGTAAAATACAATGCATTTTTTATGAGAAATATGCCTAGTTTTCAGATGAATGTAGCTGCTTTCAACCTTCCTGAAATAGTGGGTAAATATCATTGTCAATGTAGTGTTGAATATTGAGGATCTGGTCATAGTCAGATGATTTTTACAAAGGTAAACTATATTACTGTCAATTGTGGATTTTTGAAAGTATTAATTGGTATTATAAAGGATTAAGCAGTAAAGTTGTGATTATTAACTACACACAAAACATTGGGAATGTTTGTGTAAATTGATACTTTTTCTCAACAGAAAGAAAAGGAACGAGCTAAATTTCCAATTAGAAGCCTAAATTTTGACTCAGAAGAAAGTGCACAAATTGCTGAATATTGTGGGCAGATAAAGGATTACTTCTGAGTTTCCTAAAAATCAGGATGGATTTCATACTTTCAAACATGTAGCATACTTTATATGGTTTTAGACGTTTCTAATTTATCAGGTACTTTCTATCTTGATTTTTTTCAAAGTCAATGAGGGAAATACACATATCCTAATGTCAGAGAACATATGACAAATTTGGAAGCAATGATATAATTCTAGTTAAATATTATTTGAAATAAATATAATTTGTTTATTTTTCATAGCTGTACGATGAAAAAAATCTGAAGAAATGGAACCTGAAAATTATACCAGGGTGACAGAATTTGTTCTTACTGGTCTTTCTCAGACTCCGGAGATGCAACTAATCCTATTTGTTATATTTCTATCCTTCTATTTTTTCATCCTTCCAGTGAATATCCTTATCATTTGTACCATCAAGCTTGACCCACACCTAACTTCTCCTATGTACTTCCTGCTGGCTAATCTGGCCTTCCTTGATATTTGGTACTCCTCCATCACAGCCCCTAAGATGCTTGTAGACTTCTTTGTGGAGAGGAAGATTATTTCCTTTGGGGGGTGTATTGCGCAGCTTTTCTTCTTGCACTTTGTTGGGGCTTCAGAGATGTTCCTGCTCACAGTGATGGCCTTTGACCGCTATGCTGCTATCTGCCGTCCTCTCCATTATGCGACCATCATGAATCGACGTCTCTGCTGTATCCTGGTGGCTCTGTCCTGGATGGGAGGCTTCATTCATTCTATAATTCAGGTGGTTCTCATTGTTAGACTTCCCTTCTGTGGACCCAATGAGTTAGACAATTATTTCTGTGACATCACACAGGTTGTACGGATTGCCTGTGCCAACACCTTCTCAGAGGAGTTAGTGATGATCTTCAGCAGTGGTTTGATTTCTGTGGTGTGTTTCATTGCTCTTTTAGTGTCCTATGCTTTCCTTCTGGCCATGCTCAAGAAACACTCAGGCTCAGGTGAGAGTACCAGTAGGGCTATATCCACCTGCTATTCCCACATCACCATAGTGGTGCTAATGTTTGGTCCATCCATCTACATTTATGCTCGCCCTTTTGACTCCTTTTCCCCAGATAAAGTGGTATCTGTGTTTCATACTGTGATATTCCCTCTACTTAATCCCATCATCTATACATTACGAAACAAGGAAGTAAAAACAGCCATGAGGAAGTTGTTCAGCAGATATTATTTACATAGGGAAAAGTGAAAGCTAGATGATACATTTTATTGTCCTTCTGAGGATCAGTGTTCCAAAGAAGGAAACATTTATGGTGGTAATAATGCTATTTTCATTTCCTCCTTTTATTTGGCTTCACAAATGATCATTTTTTTCTCCACTTCTCTTTATAGTGAGAAAACAAAGGCATTGAGAGGGAAATAAATGTACTTACACTTCAGACAACCTGGAATTTCTGACAGATCATCACTAGAAATTCAGATTTAGTAGCACCTGCTAAATTATTCATTGAATAACTACTTGGTAGAAATTGACTCTGAAGAGAAAAAGTGTTGAAAACCAACAAAACAAATAAGATCTTAGGACAGAATCACATTAAATGTGAAGAGCCATTCAGCTTACAAATGTGACTAGTTTCATATAATCAATTAAATTTTATTTTGGGGGGCCTTGAATTCAGTGCCTTGCACTTTTACTTCACTTTTTCACTCATGGCCAGTGCTTTAATACTTGGGCTATCCCTCCCTTTCCAGATTTTTGCTGGTTAGTTGAAGATAAGATTCTCACAAATGTTCCTGTCTTGGCTGCTTTGATCTCAGCCTCCTGAGTAGCTACGATTACAAGCATGAGCCACTAGCACCTAAATAAATATTGTTATTTTAATCTTGACCCAGTAAGAATATTTCGTAAACTATCTTCTCAGGTCTGGAAATCAGATGATCTACTTTGTCTTCTGTCTTCTAAGATTTAGCATTCTTTTATAAAAGCTGTTTCCACTTGTATTTCAAGTGGTATTTACATAACAGTGTTGGTAATAGAACTCAAGAATTTACCACATTGTGAAAACAATTTTTATGAATTCAGAACAGAGTGCAATTCTTTTGCAATATAGGACTCCTACCATTTTTTACTTATTATCTTCAGAAGGAAAGCTAGTTTTAAGAAGAGGGCTTTAGTTTGGCTGGTATTAAGGATATTTAGCTCTGTGAGTTTTTACAGAACTATCTCTTTTGCTAATTTTTTTATTTTTGTCTTACTAATTCTATCTCATATTAATTATAAGGTACTGCTTTTGTTATTGCTCTGAATTATTTTATATCTATTTCCCAGGAAACAATTTTTTAATTAACATGGGTGATACTTACTTAGATGTATTGACTCCCATGATGATCTAGTGAATTATTTATTAGGGGTTGATTTTATATTCCTTGACACTAATAACTCAATTACTGACCTTGATTGAGTATTTGAAAAGTAGATTCAGTCTATGAGTTAATAAGATATCGATTATGACCTCTTATTTACTTAAATTTAAGTTTTCAATTTCAAAATGAGGGGTTGTCAGGGTCCTCAACCCATTATACTACATCCTCAAGTCCTTTTGCCGTTAGATTGGCTGTATGAAAAAGCCTCAGTGAACTTTGCTTGAATATATCTTAAACTTCAGTTGGCTCATCTTTGCCTCAAGTAAGCATACATCATGATGTCCAACCTATTTCAGGAATCTTTATAGATACAAAGTCACAGAAACAATGAAAACAAGTCCAGGTCAATATAATTAATAAGTTGACAGAGTGCCAGACTGAAACCTAAGCAGAATTCTTAAGGGTCTATAAACCTTTATACTTCTTGGTGTTTGAAATAACCTCTCATTTGGAAAATACAGGGAAATTCAGGTAGATTATGTGGAAGCTATCTATCCTAGCCTTAGTTACTGAAAATACATGTGTGAAACTTCCTTTGTGAATCATGTTGCCAACAGTATTGTCAATAAAGAATTGTTAAGGAAATTAGACAATTTTGGCTAGAAAAATGAGCTAATTATAGGTGATTTAAATAAAACTTCTTTGATGAGTAACAATCTTATATGCAATGTTAGTAAATAAACAGGCATAAATGGCTTAATATTTTAAAAATTCTGCCCAGTGATTTAATTTTTATACATGAGAACATTCATGAAAGTATTTTAGATCCTTGGACTGTTGGGAATATATTTATTCATCAAATTTCTTTACATTTTGTTTGTGAGAAACAGTTCTGGGAGAAGGACAGGAATTTGTATGGAAAAGAATATTCTAGACGAAAAGGAAGTTGGTCTGAGGCTCTTATCAACTCCCAGTGGCCTGCAATTGGCCAAACTTACTTTGGCTTACACTAAAAAGCAGGAGTGAGTTTCTATCCCTGCTAAGCTAAAACCACACCCATGTTCATAAAATTTCCCTGTTGTGTCAGTTATTGTGTTAAAATAAAAAGTAGGGCTGGGAAGGTGGCTCATTGGTAGAGCACTTGCCTTGCATGCCTGAGGCCCTGGGTTCGATTCCTCAGCACCACATAAGCAAAAAGAAAAAAGCCGGTAGTGGCACTGTGGCTCAAGTAGTAGAGTGCTAGCCTTGAGCTGAAGAGCTGAGGGACAGCACCCAGGCCCAGAGTTCAGGCCCCACAACTGGACCCAAAAAAATAAAAATAAAAAGTAGCATTTCAAGGAGATTGAATTTGTGTTCCAAAGGACATAAGATCCATTCTTAGAATATGAACAGTTTCTGCCATGAATTATTAGTAACAGCCTCTGACTATGTCCCTTCCAACTGTGCAAGGAACTAAAGTTGATTTTCCCATTTCTCGTTCCAATTTTAGAAACCTACAAGAATAAGATGTCTAACCTGTGACTTACTGTCTGTTACTAAGTGATTCTGGCTATATAAAAAAATTGAATATTGCTTTACTTGTTTTCAAACTATACATAATTAAATTTGCAACATAGCATGAGTTTCTTCTGGGGCAGAACTCAGTAGATAGCTTTCAAGGAAAGATGTGAATGTGTCAAAACAAATACATGCAATACACATGCTATCATAGTATAGTCTATGGAGCAAGGATTATAATAAAGGTTCTAAAGTTTCCTTTGTGAAGAATAAAGTGTTATTCAATTTGCAGAATAAATAAATAAATCATAAATATTTGGGGTATCTTGATAAAAGGATAAGAACATTCACCTTGTATACAATGAGTTTTAGTATTTTATTTTACTTGATGTTGAAATACGCTTGCTTTGATTTTGTGGACATGATTCTTGATTCCTGTCAGCATTGAGAATATGTGTAAACATATTATCTTGCTCATATATATATATATAGATATATATCTATATATCTATATATATATATATGAAAGACAATTCCAGGCTTACCATTTATATTAATAAACCTATTTCTTAGTTGAGGAGATAATTCATGACCAAGTGCACTTCCGGTACAAAGATAGAGTATCAGGACATAAAGTTTATTTTTTTCCTTTGGAGATTTTTCTTTATGATGACCTTCTTCTTTCTTCAATGCCACAGGCCTCCTTTACTAGAAACAGACTGGCCCAGAATGGAGTTATGATTCCTGAATTTTGAATTGACTTCTCATCACTTGGAAATGAATAGAACTATTGTTCTCATATGTTTTGCAAGTGAACATTAAAAATGTAAAATGAAAAAAATATATACATAATAAATAATGAATTATGTTTCCTGATTTTATATTTCTCTAAATCTGAGCTAGCTGGACTTCAATTCATTTTGTAACTATAATATAATCAGTATAAATGTTCTTAAAATAAGACCACTGACGATGTATTTTTCGAACATTAGTATACTGCTACTAAATAGAGTTCTTGCTGGTAACATTGAAATTATTAATAAAAACACAGAAATAACATAAATATTATCTGTAGTTAGAAACTAATATTGAGAAGAAAGTGGGTAATTTTTGGCATATTATAGACCTAGCCTAATTCATGGAAGACATTCAAACTGGGAATAATTCTGCCATCTCTACCAGGGGACATAGGGCAGTGACTAGAAAACATTTTTGGTGGTCACAACTGGAGTATCCCCGATATTGTCTCTTCCTAATCATCCTGTAAGTCACAGGAGTCTGACTTAGGTGCTTTATTTCCTCAATTATTTTGTTTGGAAATAAAATACTTTACAGAAACTATGAATATACACTCCATTTCCATCCTGTGGCATGTTGGATAGCTTTACCGAACTTGTTAAAAGCAAAAGAAAATAATGTTAGTCAAATGTCTTTGAAAGTTCTTCATAACCTGTCAGAATTAAACCCTAAAACTATACATAGGATTAAGTCTCAATGAAATTGAGAATTCAGAGCAATAAGTCAACACAAATAGTTTTATAGCTGCTTTTGGAATGAAGATGTTCTTTTTTCAAGGCCAGGAATGCAGGGAGTAGTGGTGAGTGAGGTACATAATGATGACCCCAGAGATAGGTTGTCCTGTACCTCTCCTCCCCTCACCATCTACACTTTTGGAAATATAGCACTTGTACTTTTAAAGATTTGTCACTTTATGATGGTAAGGCTGCATTCATCTCATACCTATTGGTAAAAAGAAAGGAAGAATAAAATCTGAGATATTTTGTTATTAGATGTCAGGACTTTTTTTTTTAGTTGTGAAAATACCATACAGAGGGGTTAGAATTACATGAGCAAGAAAATGAGTACATTTCTTATGAAGCATTGTTGCCTCCTCCTTTGTTTCCCCTTCCTATCCCTTCCCATCTCCCCACTTCCTCCTCTCCCACCCCTCCCCTTATAAGGACTTGTTATAAGGTTACAGAGACCAAGGCAACATAGGATGGAAGTAAAGATTAGCATATATATATATATATATATATATATATATATATAATATGCAACCAAATAGAGTATGCAGACAATGACTCACTTGAGAGGAAAATTTATTTTTTTAAAACTCATACCAATATGAGAAAGAAAGCTTTTGTTTGTTGTTTTGCTGTCACTGAGGTTTAAACTCAGAGTCCTGTTTAGCTGACTCTCACTTCAGCCACAACTCCAGCTTGGATTTTTGCTAGTTGGCTATAGACTATAGTTTTACAGATTTTTCTGGTCAAGTTTGCCAGAAACTTGGGACTATTTTCACAGAATTCTCTAATCCTGCCTCTAAATCTTCCTTTTAAAATATCTACTCCCCCAAAGGTGGGTGAAGATGTGCTGAAGTGCTACCCTTTTATGCTGCTGTGTAG